TGGTGGCCCAATTTTAGCGATTAGGTTGACTAATATTTTAGCTAAGATCTGGGAATTAGACTTTATCCCATCTGACTGGTCGCAATCACTTATCGTCCCAATATATAAGAAAGGGTCAAAATCATCCTGTGACAACCACAGAGGGATTAGTTTAACAAACATAGTATCTAAAATACTGGCCTCGATAATTATCAAACGCCTAACTAAGACTCGTGAACTACAAACTCGAGAGAACCAAGCTGGCTTCAGACCTGGTCGTGGCTGCATCGACCACATATTCACCATTCGTCAGGTTCTAGAACACAGGCATACCTATCGGCGTCCGACGATGGTGGTCTTTCTTGACTTAAAAGCAGCATTTGATTCTGTAGACCGCGAGACTCTGTGGCAGTGTCTGTCATTGAAAGGCGTACCTCAGAAGTACATAAACCTTGTGAAGGCTCTTTACTCGAACACTACTAGTCGAGTCAGAGCTTATGGCGAACTGTCATCTACTTTTGCAACTTCAAGTGGTGTCCGTCAAGGCTGTCCGCTTTCTCCATTTTTGTTTAACTTCATCATAGACCTATTGATGGAAATAACACTCTCGTCGACTGAATTCTCGGGTATTGATCTCCTTCCAGGAGGTCCACTTATCGACTTAGAATACGCAGATGACATAGTCCTGTTTGGTGAAGACGCTGACAAAATGCAGAGTCTTCTGGTAGCACTAAGCAACAATGCCAGAATGTTTGGGATGCGCTTCTCTCCCTCTAAATGCAAGTTGTTGCTTCAGGACTGGTCTGCGTCAACACCTGAACTAAGGATAGGGAGTGAAGTAGTTGAACGCGTCGACAACTTCACTTATCTTGGAAGTCTGATCAGCCCTAATGGGTTGGTGTCTGACGAAATCTCAGCACGGATTCGAAAAGCTCGTTTGGCTTTTGCCAACTTACGTCACCTTTGGCGAAGGCGAGATATCCGTCTATCAATAAAAGGACGAGTATACTGCGCGGCAGTCCGTTCTGTCTTACTTTACGGCAGCGAAACATGGCCTTTAAGAGTGGAAGACACCCGTAAGCTACTAGTATTTGACCACAGATGCCTTAGAAATATTGCTGGCATCTGCTGGGATCACCGGGTAAGTAATAGTGAGGTTAGACGCAGGGTATTAGGGAATGATGGTAAATCAGTTGATGAGGTTATGAATCTTCATCGACTGAGATGGTTGGGCCACGTATTACGTATGCCTGAACACCGATTACCACGACGTGTAATGCTAACCGGTGTAGGGGATGGTTGGAAGAAAGTTAGGGGCGGCCAAACCAAAACGTGGCATCAGTGCCTGAAGTCACTAACTTCTAGTCTGAGCCATGTTGGTAGATGCAGACTACTTGGTTGGGGTCCGCGTGACTTTCGTAACCAATGGTTGGAGACTCTTGGTGACATGGCTCAGAATCGATCACAATGGCGTCGGTGTATACACACCCTGTCTTCCCTTAAACTAAGAGATTAAAATCACTTCATATCTTTCTTTCTACGAACTAATTCTTTCTTCCTATACTATATCCCATCACAGCTAATAATTATCCTCATGATTTCACAATACAATTTGCTTAATTGTTTCATATTTATTGATCTGCATTTTTCGTATTCAAATAACTTCTACCAAAACGTTGCGTTTAATATTTAACTTCTTAAAATATATATCCTCCTGATTGTATTCCCTAGAAGAATTTATCATTAAATTTAATACATAATCTATTGATCAATCTAAACTGATACAAAATCTAATCTCTTCGTTTCCCATTGTCTTTAACTAACCAACCAATCAGTCAAAATAACAAATTTCCTCGCTTCAGTTAATTTATAGTCAAATGTAAAACGTTCAATAATATCTAACAATAATGATTATTTTGTTTACAGACTTTATTATTTTCATCTTCAAGATTATATGGAGAAATAGAAAAATGATTTAAAGATTCATTAATAACATAATATGATAATAAATGACAATTATTCATTCCTCTTCTCATATTGTTATTATTTCATACTTCGGCACAATACACACAGTACGTACATATGCCAATAAGAGACTGATCAATTGCAGACCTAAACATCAATGGGAAGATTCAAGTAAACAATACGAGATGAATTTAAACTTCACCCCATTGCATAAGCGAGTGACTATCAGGACTCAGTAGCTAAGTGGATAACACGATGGCGTTTGGAGTGAACGGTACTGCATTCGAGTTCCAGAGTGGGTATTTCCAACTGACGCTTCTCAAATAGGACGAAACACCGGTCCTGGATTCCAATGCTAGCAACTATAAATCTTTTGCTTATTTTGTCTGTTGTTGAAAACTTAAAATAAGTATTCGTTTGACGGGAAATTATTCATCTACTAAATTTTAACAGCTTATCGCATGTAATATCCTACATTTCTGGGTTATTTTGTGCTTGTTGATTTTCTACCTTGCTTTATGTGAAAGATTGTGATACTACATAGGTACGTTGTTACAAAAGTGTTTAAACCAACAAGATACCGTTTAATGCATATTGAAGAGATCGATATCATTTTTTCCATACATCTAATTCATTTTACTTGTTGACACTAGCCAAAACGTATACATTTTTACTAAAAACGTATGTATTATATATTGATATAAGATCTGCGTAAACCATTATTTCTATTGATAGATCGGTTAATCAGGTAGATCTCCGTCGACTGATACGGTTGGAACATATACTACTCATTCCTAACTATCCCCAATCTAGATAGGCGATTTTTGCTAATATCCAATTAAGTAAGAAGAAAGACATGGCATTAGTTCATGAATCCATTGACTGTTGGTACGAACCATGTTGGTAGTTGCAAACTATGTTTTTAAGATAAACAAAATATCCGTAAACGATGGTTAGAAAATTTGGGTGATAAGACGTAGAATTGTTCATGGTGGTGTTGATGAATTTACCCTTTATCTTTATCGATCTTGAATTCCAGTTTTCTTTCATTTATTTCTCTTAACTATTTTTTCTTGCCCTATTCTTGATCCTGAGTCAGTTTTGTAATCATTATTGCCATTAAAATATACTGATATCTCCCCTCCTTAATCTCATCACTTGCCAGTGTAGTACAGTAACTTGAACCAATGTACCTCTATGACAGACTCCGCATTGATAATAACTGACAAAATGGGATGTGTTAATATATCACGTGAGACAAAGTTTGATCTCGATTTACATTACGATAATGTTCTCTTCTTATTACTTAGAAACAAATGCACTAAATGCCACGTATTTTAATGTGTATTATTTTAACATGTCTGACTCATCATCAAATGGGGTGCAATTAGGATGAACTGATAACAAAAAATGTAAAACTGTGATTGAATTATTGTTTATATGAGCACCAAAAGACACCTTCATGAACAATTTCATTTGACTATGGTCAATGTTTTAGTTATAAAGAAAATCACTCTCATACAGTTTATTTTTATCCACAGAGGATGTCTAAACAGTAGTCAATTTCTTCCATTATTTTAAATAAATTTTTACTTGTATAAATAAATCTATACAGAATGTAAAATATTTAATGAATTTTGATGAAGTTTTGTTCTCTGAGCTGGATAGTTTGGTTGTGAAGCTTTCATCATTCTTCTGAACGACCGCATCAGTTGATGATATCGTCATCAATCAGAGATAACAAACCTTCTCCACCATCTCATTATTGAATTTTCCCAACTTGACTTATATTTTATATATAAGTATGATTCATTGTTGTTTTTCTGTTTTTTTCATAAAATGTATTAACAACATCAACTATATTTCAAGTATTTGTCGGTTTCTGTAGGGATTTAAGGAATAGCTGCTATTATTTCTAGTAAATGTTCTTACTGATATAATATAATTACTTTTAAGTTGATTTACTGAATATAATAAACTAATATTATTTATTTGATCAAACTGTCAAAATGTATGTACCATTATAATTCTCAAAAAAACTCTATGACTAGTTTACTCGTAATATTCTTGTTCTCAATCTTTTTTTCTTTGAATAACCGGGATGAAAACGTTTTTAAACATGGCATTCAAATTGAAAACATTTCGATTGAGATCATGAACCGATTGATGTTAAACCACCTTTGGAAACCTGGAAGTACTGGACGGCCGTTTCGCCCTATTGTGGGACTACACAGCAGTGCGCATCCACGATCCCGCTCGCGGGATTCGAACCAAGAGCCTTCGGTCTCGCGCGTGAACGCCTAACCTACTGGACCACTGAGCCGGCATCCAATGGTGAAAGTGTCTAACATCAACCAATCCATGAAATTGCGTGACCGTCTCCCATTGTACTGAGGTAGATACCTGTCTCTACCCGACATGGATTAGCTCCACTGGTCACGGCTTCTCACTAGAGCTTCGAAAATTCCCTCACGAAGCTAGTCACTAGTGAGCACATGTTAATTTTAGGCGTACATTTAGAAATTTAACCTTATTTTGGTTTTCAACTGATGATTATCATGCAGTTATGGGTGTATTTTGATAATTAATTATTTGGGACAAATAATTTGTAGCTATTTCAAAGTATACAAATATTTTCGAAAAACAAATTAACTCCATATTTTCTATATTCCACTGGTAGCATAACATCAGTTCAATTATATTACGTAACATTAAGAAATCGTTTATTTGACTTATATAGTTTCTGAAAAGAAAAATAATGTTAACATACTTCTGACTCTGATGCTAATTAGAATTGATTTAACCTCTGTACTACTTGTCATTCATTAATAAGTTACATGTTTGGAGTGTAATAAATGATAGACACGCAAGTAGTTAATAGAAGCAGTCAATAATTTAATAGCTTTGAACTTTAAAACATTATATCATACATCATATTAATTATCAGATACACAGATTCAATGTTTTTGTTAATACCTAACCATTGTGAAACTGAATAATGAAAATACTCATTCAATATTTACAAAATATTACTTTAAAACAAACCAATATTATTACCAGCCTTCTTAAGTCATTGGAGGAAGGATGAAATAATCATCAAATTAGAGTACATGATATTGAGTCGCTCAAAATAGTGACCATAATTTAATGTGTTAGTGATATGATGAAAAGAAAAGTCGATTTTCGATTGATTTACCCATTATGAGTTTTGTTCCAGATTACTTCCGTTTTGATTCAATGTAATGATTACCCTATGTAGTATTTGTTTTATTGTCTTGTATGATATTTTATTCTGTATAATATGCAATATTCTTGTATTCCATTGACATAAACTATGTTCAGTATGTGATTTTTTATGACTGACTATTTTTCATATATGTGATTTCATCCCAGTTATTATTCAAAATGGGTGTACGACCAATATATAAATGAGTGTATTTTCTAATAGAGTCGTCGTCGTCGTGTTTCAAGGTTAATAAATCTTCATTTATACCAGTCTTTGTGTTCTTACTTTCGCATCGTGGAAATCGCAGAGGTTCCTCGTTTCGAGTATAAGCGGTAAGCGTTTCCGACATAACAATCAGCGACGACCAGATATAAAAAGTAGCATTCAATTAACAAGTTATAACAGTTAGATAGAATAAAATTACCAAATTAATCAATACCCTTCATTTATAATAATTTAGTTGAATTAGAAATAAAAAAACGAAATGTTCAAGTTATTTGAAAGTTTTATGTAACTGATAAAATCTCATAACTAATCCACTTTTTCTTATATACGTAAAAATTCTTCCTTATGTTCAATAAAAGAGTTTCTATACAGATTGATTTAAGTGTACTTCATATTTTATAATCAATGGAATACTTCATAGCACAATCCTCATCAAATGGTGTTTCATACAATAAGATATAAACTTTTACAAAATGCACATAAACTATAAACAACACCTCTGGTGCATGAATAAGTTTCTGAGATATGTATAATGTTATAAGTTCACCTATTCATTAATCGAATGTAATTGGCTAACTAACGTCAAATGATAATTGTTAAATGTAAAGTACTAAGCAAATGAAATTCATATTGCCCATGCAATGAAATACGATATAGTTCTATTAAGTTTCAAACAATTACATATCATTAAAACATGATTAGCTTGATCTTAATGGTAAACAAAAATGTTTTATTTCAGTGTATCTTTAAGTATTCACCGAAACATCAATTATGATAAAACATTAAAATAAATTTTATCATGAGTAAGTTTAATTTAACTCAGGATACATTCATTCATCTTGTTTTAGGTGCATTAGACTTCGTTGAGAAGATAATTATTGTACCCTTAATAACTTGGATAGATGAAATGAAGTTAAAATTCACCATACCAAAACTATGTGATACAATATGCCTGTAATCAATAATTATATTGAAGGAAATCGTATAGATCTACAATGAATACTCATAAATCAGACAGAAAATGATACACATACATATGAGGTGCCTAAATGCTTGATATGAAATAGGCTGAACTTTATGATCCCCCAGGTAGATATTTGTCATGTAAACACAGTTCCCCTTCTAAATTGTAATAAAGAAAACACACAATATTGTATTCAGTTTTTCTTTTAGAATAACATTGGATTACCAAACATAATTGTGGTTTCATTGTAAACAATAAATAGACAATAAGCAAGATACAATCAAATCTCGTGAAGAAAACTGAATTTTTATTTATTCTAGTTACATATCACATTTACAGTTCTTTTCCTCTAGTTTCATATGTATTTTTATTTCATTATTGTTCTACTGTATTTAACAGGGAATGAGAAGATACCTGTACATACGTATTTCACTGCGGAAATGTGAAATGTATGAAGAACACGGCTGAGATGTTAAAAAATGCATTTAAAAGAAGATTTATCAATATTGGGCATTAGGTCTTTTTACATATTTTAAATATCCGTGTACAGAATTGTATGAAAGTTGTACGAAATTGATGTGACATTGAACAATACAGTATAAAATTAATACCATTATTAACAATTGTCAATAGATCCATAAAATCACCCAATGCATTATACACAGTATCTGTGAAACAATCACCCACAAGTCCACTTAAAAATAATAATATTGCCTGTAATGTATAAAAAGTAGTAAAAGAAACAAACATTATAATAATGCTATACACATAAGTAAAGATATATATATATATATATATATATATATATATATATATATATATATATATATATATATATATATATATATATTGCCATAGTACAACTAAACTGATAGAATTTGATCAACATCAAAGGGACTAGATAGTCATGTCTTTGTTGAAACAATTACAAATATAAAAATCTTAAAGAGAACTCCAGAATAGCTTGGTAATGAGGCTGAATGATACGAAAGCGAATCTTTCAGAAAGCACCAGTTCCCTCAACATAGCTAGTACACTTTGATGAAGGATTCCGAATAACAATCAACTGAAGTTGAAGGTTTGTAATCCACAACCACTTCACATATGTGTGAACGATCTTGTATATATCCTGTCAGAGTTTCATCTTTTCATGTAACTGATTTTCCTAAGTTATGTGACGTTATGAAATAAAATTTTTATATTTTAATCCTGAATGTTTCGAAGTAGACGATGATTAACTATCCATATTATTGCTGTTAAAAAATAATTAGATAGGGGTTTTGTGGATATTATAGTAATTTATTAATTTAATACATGAGTTGATTAAAGATAGACCACCATGGGAAACCTGAAAGAACAGGATGGCTGTTTCGTCCTAATATTGCATTTCTGAACAATGCGCATCCATGATCTCGCTAACGGAATTCGAACCTAAAAAAAGTAATTACAAAGTGATAAGAGTTTTATTTAACCTGAAAATTCCAAACTTATTTATCACTAAAAGTAACAAACAAAAAAATGTCTAAAAATATTGAAAAATTAATTATTAAAATACAGTAAGATTTGAGTAGATTTCGATGAACTCTCGAAGTGGTTTTTCTTGTTTGTCTCTAAACTATTACATAACACTACAACTTATAAATAAATCAATTAGATCAATCCAATGAAATATTCAAGAAATAAGAACTGCTGAAATATATATATATATATATATATATTGAATATATACTTCAACATACCAGCTGACGTCTTATTAGAAACCAACGAATTGATATTACTGCTAGATGAAATCTAACCAATCAGCGTCAATTTGAAATATGACTTTATGGCTCTTGATTTTAAACAAAAAATATTGGCTCTTCACTATTTCAGTCATCTTTGTATTCTGTTCCTTTCAGCGATTAAAACAATTTAAACCTTTCATCTCAAACTTCCGCTCAAAGCTTTTTATTTCTGTAACTAACCATTAGGTAATATTATAGTGTAAATAATTTGTAATTTTAAGAATTATGATATCATTAATGAGAACAAGATATATAAGTGAATGATATTGTTTTCAACTAGATCCTCATTAGGCTTTACTCTTATATACAGTAATATTTATTTGCATATTCGAAAATCATGGCAGTTTACAAGTCAGTAATAACACTGGAACAAATTACATAACCAACCATAATAGTGTGATTACAGGTTTACTAGTTGTGGAATAAAGGTTTACAAATTTCTTATGAATACAAAAACTTGAATTGTTGGCTCGAAACTCTATAGCTTCTGTTATGTGCAGAAGGTAAGATCGAACCTCAAAAGTAAAAAAAAACTAGTAGGGATACGCTATCTACTACATAACCTCCATCGATCATATATGATAGAACAGAGCTGTGTATTGTTTTAATGAACCATAAAGGGAGTTGTTCCATAACTCGCTATATAAAATCATATATTGTTCTGTGTTGAACAATAATTGACCATTAATTTTCTTTATTTTTCTATAGATTAATTTAATTATAACAACAAGATGGTATTTCTTATAATGATATGCCTAATTAAATTAAATTAGATATTTTGGTAAATTTTAATGAATGATCAAGAGTGATAAAGTAGATGGGTGAAAGTTGCTTAATCCATATAATCTATGATTAAATAAAATACATTGTGATCCTAGATCGAATAATAACGTTAGGGAATTAAAAATTTAATCAGAACTATGAATTAAAACAATAAATTTGGGAAATAATACAGTGAAAAATCCTTTCTAAAGAAAACAATCCTTACTTAATTATAGCATCTCTACTTAGAACATTTGTTGATTATTAACCATACTTTATATCTAGGCATACGCATAGTGGACATATGATCAATCGCAGACCTAAACATCAATGGGAAGATACAAGCAAAACAATACCAAGTGAATTTAAATTCACCCCATTGCACAAGCAAGTAGCTATCAGGACTCAGTAGCTGAGTGGATAACGTGATGGCGTTTGAAGTGAATGGTACTGTGTTCAGGTCCCAGAGTGAACATCAACTCTGAAATGCAAGTACATCCAGCTGACGAGTCCCAAATAGGACTAAACGCGCGTCCTGGATTCCAGTGCTAGCCACTATCCGTCATTGCTTACAAAAAGTTTTTGACATTATTTACATTTATTTTGTCCGTTTCCACAGTTTGTACATTTACCATAAAATGATTGTATATGTTGTTTAAGTGAATGACTTTGAACACACTTTCTTCCGTTGTGTAACACTCATAACATGACACACTGCTAACTACTCGTAAATACACTATTATACATACGTCTATCGTTCCGCATAACCTGTGGTTATGATAACTGAACTCTGAAGTATCTGTTATCTACATTTATAGACTGCAGTTACATTCACATTATATTTTACATCTGTTGAAATTACTGGATCCATAACAACCTCACTGGAATTATTAATTATCTATAATTGTGGATCCTGGTACTAAACGCACGCACAAGCTTGCCGATCTAAGTAACGTTCTTTAATTTTTTGTGTGTTTGTTACCTATAACTGATATATTATAATATTAACATTTGGACGTAATAACTTTATTGCTATTTTTGAGTTAATATATTTTTGCTCCACCACAAGTCTATCAATATACATCTTCCTGTGAAGTCATGACAACTATAAAATATATATTCAAACATGTTATGCTCATATCAATATTTTATTCAAATAAGAGTGTGTAGGAAGTTGAATTAGTGAGCAGGATATTTTTTAATTTTAGAAATGTTTTATAGTTAATAACTAATGAACTAAGTAAATGTAAATCTTATATTTATTAGAAAATATAATTCTTTGAATAGATTAATCACTAGGATAAGAGTTTTCACAATTGATTGATCACTGGGTGGTGATCAATGTCATGTGTGTCAAGTCCTTATCTAGTGCAGATTGAATGCTATCGATCTTGTTGCAATGTGGCCACCAGTCTAGGTGACTCAACACTGCGGGCACTATATATTTAGAGTAGATGGTGGTCGAAGGTAGTCGACAGGAAACCCAGGACCCGGGTCTCATGCTACTTGACACTCGGGGTCGAATCCACCAGGGAGCACCAGCTCCCTCAGGATTGCAGGTACACCTTGCTGACGAGTGCCAAGTAGCACGAAACCCGGGTCCAGGGTTTCCTGTTGACTACCTCCAACCACCATCCAATCTCAGGATAAGAGTTTATTTAAATTATTCTCTGTTGATCTATCGAAACAATTTGTTCAACTTAATAATGAAATAAAGAATTTAAATAATTTTATTGATAACACTGTCATGAGTATCAAAGTGTATAAGTGGATTCTGAAAATGCTAATTAAGTCACACTAGACATTCATACAATTTATACTATGGGTACTATTATTATTATTATTAGTAGTAGTAGTAGTATCATCGAACTATGGAAGTAGGTAAATCGAATGAATGATTAACATATTTGTTTTTTTTTGGTAATTAAATACTTTATTACAGTAATTTATTGCGAAAATAAACTCAATAACTTTTTGTATGTAAAATAATTGACATCTACATTTTGTTATTTTTTCGAATTGAATTATTGTCATTTATATAAAACAAAGCAATACAATTTCTTTACGAAATAATCTAGATAGATTAAAGTTAAACATTAACACAATTGGATGTAGACTCAGTGGTCTAGAGGTTAAGTGTTCTCGAGTGAGATTGTGGATGCACACTGCTGAGGAATACAATATTAAGACATAATGGCCGTCTAGTGTTTCAAGGTTTTCCATGAAGGTTGAATTTTAATTGACTCATAAACTCAGTTAGTGAATTATTGTTGTCAATAATATAAGTTTTACATGCTTGATTTTATTTTATTGAAGTGGAGTTAAATCAATCTTCTTTTCTTTTGAAAAAGAAAGAAAAAAAAATGATTTCCTATTTGAAATTATCAAGGTAGAACTAATGATCAGTATCACGCGATTTTCTGTACTAATCTTTTCAATCATTATAGATTTTAGATTAAGGATCTATATATTTTGATTCAATTGGATTAGACTGGATATTGTACCCATATCTAATCCATTTTTTTTTAGTGTTTGATCTATGAATGGATATACTAGCTTATTAAATAATGTACAGTAATATGGATGATTAAATAACATATTACTCTTTTACAAACTCTTCTGTAATTGAAACTTCATTTTGTTTTTCTACAAAAAGTACATGGATTAAGGTACACAAAAGTGATAATTACTTCAACTCTAAACGTATAATTTTATAGCAAATCATTCACAATAAATAACTTCTAGTCTGTTCGTAATTTATTTGGTAATATTTTATGGATAAACATTTCACTTCTATGTACTGTATAAAAGACTATAGTGATTAAACTAGTGTGAACCATTGTTGACAATTTCATAGGATGATGGCTCAATATGCATACATGTCAGAATGTTTGCTTATGAAGTTCACTGATCGAACTCAAATCACTATTGAGACAAAAAAGGAATCTTTCATACGTTGTGCAAAATACTGTATTCTTGGTTCATTATTGTGCTCTATCACAGGTCAGTAATACTGATGAGTTTTAAAATACAAACGAGTGATTATCCGCTGTCCGCTAGAGCTAACGTATCTTGCATCTGAATCCGATTTGTGACTAAAACCGAGTAATAATTGCATTCATCATTATGGTTTGGCTCAGTTTAAAACAGTCGTATTGTTGGATTAATTTACTTTTTTCCAGACACTATTTTTATTCAATATATTTCGTTATTCTAATATTTTGATGGAGTTTTGTTCTCTGAGCTGGATGGTTTGGTCGTGCGAGATCTTCCTTGTGTTTTTGGAAGCAAACCAAATCTAAATTACTTAGATTTAACTAGGACAGAACAAGTTTTGAGGGAAGACAAAATATAAAATTCAGAACATAAATTTTCAGAAAAATAATATTCCATTACAATTATCCTTGCAAATTTATTGATTTCATTAAAGGTTATGGGTAAAGTATTACTAGTTTTGATCACAAACTTATCAAATATATAAGTTGTGATGACTGACTGATAAGCATAGGAAACTGTGCCAACTCTTGCTAGTTTTAACAAGTAGGGTTTAAATCAAACTTTGTCATTAAAACAATAGCATGTACCCTAAATCACAAAATTTATGTAAACAAATATTTCTGAAGTGATGATTAGAAATTTAAAATACATAGATTCTGGCGTTAGCTGGTGTTTTTTTAAAGCAGATATCTAAATATGTTTAGTGTGATAGACCTGATTTAGAATAAACTTGTGAATAGATCCTCACCAATCAAATCGAATCAACGTTTTATATACTTCCTAACTAAATAAAAGTATTTGACTCCTGTGTGTGAAATGTCCGCTAATATACTACACTCTCAATCCTTCAAATACAATGGTATACAAACAAGTGAATATATAAAGGTCAAACAAGTCATGTGGGAACACTAAAATGAGCTTAATTTTATATCCAGTCAAATTTGTTCCCTAGCAAGAAATGTCATTATGATATAATTACGCCTATCACCAAGGACGATGCACGGTTATGTATGAAAGGATTTTAATAGATGAATTTATGAGTTAATTTATGCTAGGCCATCTTGGAAAACCTGGAAGAACTGGACGCCTTTTGTTCCTATTACGGAACTCCTCAGCAGTGCCATCCACAATCTAGAGGTTAAGCGTTTATTCGCGAGACTGAAGTTCCTGGTCTCGATTCCTGCGTATTAGGTCGTCGATGCTTACTGCTGAGAAGTCACATACTAGAACTAAACGGCCATTCAGTGCTTCCACGTTTTCAATGACGGCCCTAGCTTTAATCGACTGATAAATTCAACTATTAAACTACTAGAATCTTCACAAAAACCCCACAATCTAATAAGGAAGCATTTGTTTACATCATCATTAATGAAATCAATAAATTTTTCTGACAAAAAAGAAAGAAACACTTAGAAACAGTCACTTACAAATCCTTTCATTCATATAAATAATATACAACTTACCTGAGGAAGTAATGTAATCATAAATATGAAAACAATAGCTAATAAAAATTTTGTCATTCTATTTTCTGCTTTTTCACGTTCATTTTCAAATGTATTACGTTTTTTTAATAGAGTAACATTTTTATACATTGAATTAGTTGTATATGATAAAGTATTAGATCCATGAATGGGTTGAAATTTAATCTTCTCTTTTATATCATGATTATTTAATTGATTTTGATTTTGATCTAATTCATTATTATTAATGATGATTGAATTTGAACTAGTTGGATTATGTGAACTGGATGTTTCAATAACACGATCAACACATATGATTGATTTGGTTTTCATTTTTCTCATACGTGAATTTTGTCTACGTATTGTATATATAATCATAAAACTAAGTACACATAAACATAATAATGGTAGGAGTTTCAAAAAAATTGCTGTATTCCAATAAAGATAATTTAACATAACTTCATTATCTACATAAGTAACCATGTAACTATTCAATGTTTGTTCATTATTATTTTGTACAATATGATGATTCATAATACATGGAATAGATAATATACTACTAATTATAAATACTATTGTAATAGCAAATTTAGCTCTTTGCATACTGCATAAAATTTGACATTTGACTATAAATTTTACATAGAGAACTCGAAATACAGCTATAACAACAACAATATAACTTGAAGTTAAATGAAGAAAATTTTGTAGACTAATATGAAATAGAAGATAAACAGCCCAATTATAAGTTGAATTACGTGTATGACGACCAATTAAGAAATAACTTGTAAATGGTATATAGAAAATCATCAATAAACCATCACTGATTGCTAATGATGTTAATAGAAAATTTGTCGGTGATATCATATCACGTTGATTAAGTACAATTACAATACAAATATTAGATAATACACAAATAGGACATAGAAATAATGTAATATATCCATGCATATCACCGTAAACACGTCCAAATAATTCTAATGATTCAATAGGCTTACATTTTGCATTGATTATTGGCATAATATTGGTAGTTGTTACTAATGATCTCGTTGTCATAGATTGATTCATTTCATTTATTGATGATGCTGATAGATTGTTTGTGGTTATTGTTGATGCTATGGTTGTTATCATTGTTGTTAATTGAGTTATATTACTGAGCATCATTCAACCTGTTAAATATATATAGCCTAGATTATAGAATCCATGAAAGTAAAACAACCTAGACATAGTGCAAAGAGAGAAGAAAAAGAGAATTTGGCGCTAACACGTTATCACTAAAATTTACACATTAAACACTAATTTACATTGCTTAATTAGGGGAACTGTTTAACAAAATATTTAGCATCAATTATATCGAAACCATCGAATATAAAAATTATCTTTTAAATAATTTTGGTGCCTGAGTTTTCAAATACTTTCAACAGTTCATCTAACAGTCTGATCAGAGTTACTTATGGCAAGACAAAATTATCATAGATAATTAAGGTTTAATATAAGTCTGTTCAAATTCTTGCCCAATTCTGTTCAGATATCGACTTATTGTGCAATGAGAATATTAGTCATTTGATGTCGAAAGTTCTCAGAATGCGGTAAGCGTATAAGCATGGGTATATGTGTTTTCTGTTGTTTTGGTTACGATAGAGAAAAAGTTCATTTCTTTGTTTATGATAAAACCTAAAGCACTTAGTAAACCAAACTAACAATTGTACTATAGACATTAGAAACAAAACGAATGGTTAACTTTGAAGGAACTAAATGTCTTAAAGAAGTAGTAAGTGCTGAAATTCTGTATATGTTGGAAAATCAGAACAATCTGAATAAAAGAGATGGACTATGGTTAGCTACACCATAGCAACTGTTGGTTAACAAATAAAAACACAAGCCCGAACATCATTTCAACAGCAATAGATATAGTCAATTGTATTACTTGAATTCATCTCTGACTACTTTAAATGTGATAACATAAATCAATATTCATTCGTTCTTAATCCACAGATCCCTAGGCAGGTTTGATTTGTTCATAAAGTAAAAAAGTGTTTACCTTTCCCTGGCTATAGCATCATATTTCATTGACCATTTGATAAAAATTAGTACACAAATACAATACGTAAACAAATGCTTACTATACCCTGAATTCGCATTTGAACAGTACTAGATAACTCGTTCTTTATCACTCGTATTTCATGTAATCCACATAACCTGTGGATTGTACTATAAAAGTTTGTTCAAAATGGCACAACTAGACTAATTAATGAGATTTTCCAATTAAAATGTGTCGGGTAGAGACAGGTATCTACCTCAGTACATTGGAAGATGGTCACGCAATTTCGTGGATTGGTTGATGCTAGACACTAACACCATTGAATGCCGGCTCAGTGGTCCAGTAGGTTAATAGTTCGCGCGCAAGACCGAAGGCCCTGGGTTCGAATCCCGCGGGCGGGATTCGGGATGGGCACTGCTAAGGAGTCCCACAGTGGGACGAAACGGCCGTCCAATCGGTACATGATCTCAATCAAAAAAATTAAAATTTAATCGAACAGACTTACTAAAATGTTTTTTTGTTAAGAAAATGCAATTTTATAAAATTTGTTAACCCCTTGTATGCTACCAGTAATGAAAAGAAAAATCATATAAGCGTATAGGAGAAAAAACATGCGTGTTTATGAGAGATATTTAAGTGATACCAAATATTATGATACAAATTTAAATTGCGCCAAGATGATTTGCAATGTTAAATTAAAAGTTCAAACAGTAGTCTTAAGTAATAGTTATAATATTTATAAACAGAGATGGATGGTGGTCAACTCGCGTTTTGTACTATTTTGAACACGTTAGCTGTTTGTACCTTAGAAAGTGCTTGAAGCTGATGGCACTAGGTTCGAGTCACGGAGTAAACGTCAGATCTGGGATGCAGGTACATCTAACTGACGAGTCCCAAGTAGGACGAAGAGCACATTTTGAACTCCACTGCTAGCCACTATCTATCTCTGTTAATAATGCTTGTTATTCAAGGCAATATCGAGGAGATTTAGACAGGATGCACATAGGCCAATAAGAGACTGATCAGTTCCAGTCCGAAACATCAATGGGACGATTCAAACAACTAATACAAACGGAATTATAATATTTGTTTGATATATTTGTTTACATCAGATAGGAAATGATCAAAAAATTAGTGAATTTGTAATTTTTGAAAAAAAATTGAAAAATGACTATTATTATTCAATATTACCATTGAAATCCATAAGTAGAATAGGTAAGACTATAGTCAATGGACAACCTTTGTGAGACGCTAGAGTGACCTTGAGAGTGCCCACCTAATAGCTAAGAGCAAAAGAAGATTATCAACCTGTGTGAGGGATCAGAACTATGATTCACAGTTGATGGTTAAGGTTAGAAATTAGATTTACGGTTTTTCATCACGAAATGACATCAGCTAAAATGCCAAGATGCTCTTTGGTCAAATGAGTGAGTGAATTTTGCGCAAAAATCCAAGACCTGTTATCCTAAATCTGATTGATTCGTCCATAAATTATAGTTTCGCCGTATAATATTCAGTTTTTATGATAATTTCCGAGTGACATATTATTTTTTTTCGTAGAAATAATTATAGTAACTAAAAAGAAAATTTGTTTGACTCTTTTTCAAGATTAGTAGAATGATGGTGAAATAGCATTAACATCGCATTATCATACATCTCAGTGAAAGTAACCTGATTTTCATGTATTAATAAGTTGTACCATTTATTTGTATTACTCATATATAAAACCTGGTAAACAAAACGACACGATAACTAATTCATAATAAAATATGATGACTTATTTCTAATTTAATAGTTGAATTCATAAGTCGATTAAAGTTATACCACCATGGAAAGTTTGGAAGCACTTGACGGCCGTTCCGTCCTAGTGTAGTGAGCGAGAACACAAATGGAGACAATCGATTGTATTTGCACACAAAATTACAGAACACGGTGAATATTTCATTTGCAAAATGTCAATCAGTTGTCTCAAACATGACTTTTCCTTTTGCAGATATCAATCAGTAGTCTCAGACTTTACTGTTCCTTCATTTCCACATCAATCATTCTCTGTTCTCGTACTCTTTTCTTTGCTCTCCTTAAAATTCTACTTCCTGATATTTCACTTTCAGCTGATGATACATACTAATCATATCTATCGACATCAATAGCACAAACCACACTAGTATGAAACTCCTCAACAGTGCACATCTATAATCCCACTCGCAGGATTCGAACTCACAACCTTCAGTCTTATGCGCTAGACCGATGTTATCATCTAATTTTATTTCAGAATTTCTCAAATTATGATGTTTATTATGATATTTTACAGAAAACAAATTATATAAAAGTTTATGTCACATGCTTTAATTTTTAATTAAAACAAAATAATTTAGCTCTTTAATTTTGAAGTCGATCCATAAGCTAATTTAAATGAACATTAAATGTCTATTATTGTTGACAATAAAAACTAAAGTACGTTTACCAATACTAATTTACGTAAGATATATATATATATATATATATATATATATATATATATATATATATATATATATATATATATAGATAGATAGATAGATTCTTTGTTTTGAAAAACATCGAACTGTTTTACGTCATCCATATGTATCTCTAATGAATTTCAGTCATAGTAGGAAATAATAATTTATTTACTAAAATTCATTTTATCAATAAACAAATCGTAATACAAAACAAATAAGAGATAAATTTGGTGAATTTGACATTAGTTTAATCATTTGAGAAGAGTTTGCCTTTTATTTATTAATTACTATCAGTATGAATGTCCAACAGAGAACACTCTTTTTTTAATCGTAGAAAAAAATAATCATTTCCGTTACTATTATAATTTTTGTTCTATATGACCTCATAAGGTTATCGTATAGAACATCTAAGGTTCATAGTTTTATTTACTTAATAAATTAATGTAATTTTGTTGATTAATCACTTGGTAATTTAGTTAAATATGCTCCATAATGATCTACTAGTTGTATACATATATGAAACACTTGAAATTATTACTAATTATCAAATAATGATTAATGATAAATATCAAACTATTTAATGTATGGAAGGTAAGTTAGTCTCAAGATTTATACTATCTAGTAAATCAATAGATACCTCTACAGAATTTTTTGTAAGCAATGACGGATCGTGGCTAGCACTGGAATCCAGGACACGTGTTTCGTCCTACCTGTGACTCGTCAGCTGGATATACTTGCATCTGAGTTGACGTTCACTCTGAGACTCGAACCCAGTACCGTTCGCTTCAAACGCCATCACGTTATCCACTCAGCTACTGAGTCCTGATAGCTACTTGCTTGTGCAATGGGGTGAATTTAAATTCATTTGGTATTGTTTTGCTTGTATCTTCCCATTGATGTTTAGGTCTGCGATTGATCAGTCTGTTATTGGCATACGCACAGTATGCACATACGCCAATAACAAACTGATCAATTGCAGTCTTAAACCTCAATGGGAAGATACAAGCCAAACAATACCAAATGAACCACTACAGAAGATAGTAATATTCTGATTCATAGCAACAATTCATTATTCAATTTTTCCTTTTAAAATGAACATTACACACATGAATATTTCATGATGTAATTTTTTTTCTAAGACAGTATAGTGCGTTGATACGGTTACAGTCTATAAAAGCATAGACAAGAATATGTTTTTAGCTAGCTATATAGTCAGTAACAAACATAAAGATGGTGAAGTTTTGAACTATTTATTTATCAATAATAAAACTATCTTACTATAATCATGAATTACATGAATTATAAATGAACATTATTGTTAAGTTTCATAAAGTTGATAGAGAATTATTCAATTTATCCTCTTAATTCAATTTCTACTTAGAGTTTATCTCTTTAAAATGTTAAAATAAAAAATAGAATATTACAGCAGTGATTTTTAAATAATTAATCCAAAAAGAAAAAGAAAAATTAACTGATTTTTATTAATTAACTAGGCGAGACTCAAATTCGTACGACCTTTGAACGAATCTAAAGTGACCTTGAGAATACCAGCCAATCAGCGGACAGTAAGTAATTGTAATGCATGCAATAGAGGAAATCATCCATACGGCTACAGAATAGTCGGCCTCTGAAGACATGATAAAGTCTCAAAAACTCTTTCAGCCTCGACCACATAGCTTCAATATTGCTTGTGTGCAC